TCATCTTGATAGATATTTGGCCGTTAGAAGTCAATGCTTGGGCAAATAAGGAAATCTTCTTTTCCCTTCTTTATATGATTATATCTCAAAATCTTCTACATATAACCATGTGAGAGAAGCCACTTGTCCATATCGAAGCTCCCAAAAGTCGTGCTCTTTATTGGTTCAAGAAGATTTAGCTGTTGTAGTGCATTGAAGGCTATCGGATCTATATATGGAAAGTCCTGGTGTATGAGTGGGCAAGATGGAATCAACCTGATCCAATGGCTTGGAATGAAGTTGAGGTGTTCTTAGGAGCCTCTAGTTGTAGTATATACTCTCCTGGACGCTAAACATGTGATTGAAGTCTCCCAAAACCAAAAGATTCAGGCGAGTGTAGAATCCTTCGGCTTAGAAAATTAATATCTCCCAAACAAAACATGGTATTGACTTGGTTCCAATTCACTACGTGTCTCTGATGGGTTAGTTTGGTAGAAAAAATCGGTTTGTAGCTTAATTCCATATGGTTTAGTTGACATCCTCCAATCATTGCGCGTAGGTCCAAATTCGGTAAGTTTGAAGTCACCGGGTTTGCGGGCTGAATAACTCCTTCGTTTGAATTGAGATAATTCTACTTCGAGGCTTGATCTAGATGAGTTGAGAATGTTATTAAATTATCTCACACGACAAAAAAAAATATGTGTATTGCATGAATTAAATAGTATTACAAAATTGAACGATACTATTTTAAATTACTTATTAATAAATGATACAAAATTTGTTGTCTAACATTACTTGTGTTAATTGATGTTATTATTGATTAATTTAACATCATTTAATAAAATTGACACAAAAATATGGATTTGTGTCAATTTAATGCATTTGCCAATTTATGTTAACATCACTAAACAAATGATTCAATTTTTACATCAGTAAAAATTGAATACTAATAAAATGATAATTATAATTATTTAATCATTTTATATGGGTTAATCAAGCTGATGTTATTTCATATTAATTATTGATGCAAGTTGATGATGATTATCCTTTTTCCGGTTTCAAGATTAAAACCTAGGGTTCACTAATTCGAATGCAGAATAGTGAGGTTCGTTAAGGGACCAGCAATACGCTCTAATTCTATGGATTACAAATCTCAGCTAAGCGATTCAAGTCGGGGTTTAAATGTCACAATAATATTAAAGCGAGACAAAAGTAAAATCGGTTGTAAACAATAGTGGAAAGACGTTAGGTCAGGGATAATTCTCAGGGATTCGAATATCAGGAACCAAGCAATTATTCAGGTATGCGATTACGACCAAATCTCGAACTCAACCATAAATATAAG